TCTTGTGGAGATATAAAAGGAGAGGGCTGAGAGGAAAAATTAGAGTGGGGAGGGGGGGGGGGGGGGGGGAAACAAATGCTGTATGGAATTTGAGATTATGTATTTGGTTTGTGTGTTTCCCTCCTGTTTAAATCAAACGCATGGGGGCCGTGTAGCCCTGGGCTTGTTGCTGGTGACAGTTTCAGTGTTTCTAGACTTCTCTCCTCCCCCTTTTCAACGACAGTCCTGAATTGAGAAGCGGGGTGGAATGGGGTGTGGGCTTCTGGCGGAGGGTGAATTAAATAGTCACTCTCTCTCCCTCTATCTCTCTCTCTCTCTTGCACTCTCTTTTTTTTTTCCCTTTTTTTTTTTTCAGTGGCGTTTAAAATCAATTCATTCAGTGGACTGCTGACACAGCCCGGCCCAGAGAGCCCAGGATTTATGGCTCCCTCTAATGGGCATGCTCTGAACCAAAGCCCTGCCGTCAGCACAATTCTGCCAGCCACCCGTCCGCCCCACTCCCTCACTCCATCTAGCTTTTAAAGACGCAGGCACCCCTCCTCTTCCTCCCTCTGCTCCTCCTCCTCCTCCTCCTCCCGCTTTCCCCATCAACCCTCTGGTGGCGGCGGAGGGGCCTTGGAAGCACACACGGGGCCCTCAAAAATGTATAAAGCCAGGGTATTTACCACAACAACATGCAGAGAAAGAAAAAGGAACTACACTATATGACTTGTCATCTTTAATTTTTTAACATAAAATGCTTTCTTTTAGTGCTGCTACACTGACTAATACCTGGGGAATTTCTTTGGCCTTGTTCACAGGAAGCTTCTCTAACAAGTGTTGCTTCCCAGAGCAGTGAATAATATCTCTCTCTCCCTATTAATAGACATCTATAAATACATGCAGTCAGAGCATAGGAAGAACGGGAAACTGCATGATATCATACTGTCAACTTGAATTTTAGAATAAAAACATTCGACATGCTTTTGAGCATGTGGGCAGACATTTGCTCTCTATTAAGTGTTGTATCAGTGAAATCTAGGAGATTTCCTTTCAAGTGGAGCTCTCCAGACCAGTATATAATACCTCTCTCTCTGATTATTTACCATAAGTGCAGAGGATTTTGTTTTTCCAGAAGGAAGAGATATGTACTACACCGTCATCCTCAGTCTGAAACACAAATTTAATGTGTCTGTTAGCGTTGTGGACGTACATTTGATGTTAGACGTTTTCCTGTGATCATTAAAATCCGGGCAAAGCTATGCTAACAAGTGGTGCTTCCCAGAGCAGTATATAATATCTCCCTATCCATTACCCTGTCTGACTACTGGTGCTTCCTAAGGTCTTCAGAGTGTATATATATATATATATTCATATATTCATAACCAAGTCTGGTGTCACAGGATCTGAAACAATTTATGGCGCAAGAGGAAAAAAAAAAAAAAAAAAAATACTGTGATTGAAAACACTCGCCTATGAACTCAGCCAGTGTAAAGATATATAAAAAGGATCATGGCCTGAATTGCGATGACAACATGAAGTCACTCCTGTGCGACACTTGATTTGAGCAAGTTAGCGAGTCCCTCTGTCTGAGTGAGTGAGTGAGTGTGTGTGTGTGTGTGTGTGTGTGATGTGTTGTGTTTATGTCTGTGTGCGCTCAGGAAAATGCTGCTACGCTGCTGTTGACCCTGTTATATCCTCCGGCAACCTGGTAATTTGCAGACAAATACAGACCTTTACTTCAGCCCCAGAGACTCTAACGTACATCCTTCTCCATATTCCAGCTCTGCTCTGCAGCCTGTCAAGGCGTTATAGGCCCTGAATTAGCCTCCCATTACAGCAAGGCTCCAGCTCCTCCTAAAGTTAACCATAACTGACCATTTGGCGTGGCTTCATTATAAAGCCATGCATGTAAAATCAAGTCATGGTCCCCGGCCGTCACATCCAATTTCAAAATACAATCCCCAACCCCCCAAGAATCTCTATCTTTCTCTCTTACTTAAGTTCAACCTTCTCCTTGTTTCATAAAATATGATCTGATTAAAATAGATTACACACCTTGTTAGCAGAGCGTTTCATATTTGATACAGTGGTGCTTTAAGACAGGCAACCTCCTCCATGATTCAAAGAGATTGTGGCCTTGTTCTCTGGCCTATTTGTTTAATAAGCTCTGCTACATCAGTGGGCCTTTTAAGTGAACACACTCCCCTGGAGCAAAGGCAAAGATCAATACTCACACCTGTAAAAAAAATAAATAAAGAAAGAAATGAAAAAAAAACAAAAAAAAAAACAGGGATGACGGCCAAGGATTTTCTCCTTCTACGGAATTAATCAGCAACAATCCTACTGTATGAGACGGAATCCAAAACAGGAAGCAGCTTTTATGTGCCGACCTGTAGGGAGAGCTACAGGTCAGCTGTGAAATATTCAGCACCGATTAGTCCATCGCAGCTTAAACTAAAGCTTTTCCACCGTCTCGATCATGAGAGACTACGGTATGCAAATGGGATATTATAAACAGAAAGAAGAAAGGCAGAGTCTTTGAGGGTAAATGAATTCATTATAATCCTCACCTCATCTGCTGACTGGATGGAAGACTCCTCGTGTAATCGCTGATGGGGGGAAAACCTTCTACTGTACTGAGGGAGCTTAGATGTGGGAATAATACTGGGTCATATCGCCTTAAAATGAAAATAATACCCCCCCCCCCCTCGTTTACCGTGAACAAAGTCCATGTAAGAGGGTAAAATGTAATACTGTGCTTGAGGAATGTAATTATCATTTAGCGAGTCCGTGAGCTGTGTTTGACAGGGCCTGAACTGCATGAAAAACTCATTTTCATTTTTCTTATTATATCATGATTATATAAACATTCTTAACCAGTGGCCACAGCAGCAGCAAATTATTGCAAATTAGCCCCATATTGCCAGTTTTTAGTAGAGGCAAATGAACAAGCACTAGAACTCCAGTGTTTATTCCATAAATCAGCCAAACGCTGCACCTGTTGAGAATGTAAATAGCTGAGGCTATTTGATTAAACTCTTTCATCAAAACATTTGAAGAGCACTTTCTCTCTCTCTGTCTCTCTCTCTTTTTGTCTTTTGTTTATCCTCCTGCTTCCTTCTCAGTGTTAAGTTCCTCCTACACCCACTGCAACTGGAGTTCCAATGGGCGGTGACGGGGGAGACATAACACCCACCAGCTATACGTGGGGGCACGGGAGGTCCATCATTACCAAGCCACAGTGGTGATCATGGCAATAATATAGAACTATAACTGAGCAATTAGACTAATGGAAAACGTCCCTATTTCTCCCGGTGTGCTGCAGCGAGACACGCCGTGTGCCCCGCGGGCCCCCCCTGGAGATGAGGCTGGAGATGTGAAGTGGAGAGGAGGTAATGGCGAAGGCCCATTGATCCTCACGGCCACCTGCTATATGGCTCCACGGAGGACGGGTGGGGAGACAGAGGGCTCCATCTGGGGAGAGATCACGCCGGCTCCTGGGCTCTCAGGCATATGGATAAGAGTCTTTCTCTAGTCTTCCGCTACTTAACCAGCACACATTAGCACAATATGGCCGGATAGGGGGAGAGTAAGGCGTGCATACATACAGGCTTTATGATGGTAAGGGCGCATCGACGGCGAGAGGGGCGTGAAGCCGTTTCCTTCAAAACTCGCTTCCAAATGAATGAACCGTGCATTCGAGGTGAAGATGAAATTCAAAACATCGAAGGAAAGAAATTCAAAAACCACAATGTCTCCTAAAGAGAAACCACAGCGTCGTACGTTCAAAGACCACCTATATTTACATGTAACTGAAAAGACCTCCGGCAGCCACGCGAGTTATGACCGGCTGGCTGAAGCAGAGTGACGATGGCGTGGTGGCTGCGGTGTGGCTTTAAAGAGGATTTCAATGCGAGGCTGAAAAGCAGCGTTTCACTGCACTGCCTGTTTGAAAGTTTTAAGTGCGTTGCACCTCTGACCACACCCAACCCCAGTGATGTCACAGCGTAATGGGAGTGCGCTTCCACATCACTGCATCAAGGAGAGAAGGTTAAACTGCTGCAGGTCAGCAAGGACAAACGTTACTCTTCAACGCCTGTTCAACTCTTTCTCTTCTTTCTTTCTTTCTTTCTTTTTTTTTTATTTTACCATCTTTTCCTAAACCCTCATTTAGTTGTAGTAACTGTAGCAGCAGGAGAACAGAAAGAGCAAACAAGAATCATTTTGTAGTAGATTTAGGAGGAACAGACAATAGATCTTATTCTGCCATTAAGGGCATCAGATTAGACAACTGCTATATGGGTAAATTCAGAGGCCAATCACAAAACTTGAAAGTTTAGTTTGGAGGATTTTTTTTATCCAAAATATATGAATTCATGAATCAAAAAGAATTGATTGTTACAGACACTGGATAGATGGCAGCCGTTATGATACAAAACATTAGTGAAGACTGATATTCAGCAAATATTTCACTATATAGATACAGATACAGTTGAACAACAGGTGTCTGCGACCCTCAAATATCTTTCAGATTTTGAGGTTGAAATGAGGTTGGTTGCTCCGGAAACATTAAATTTGCAACAAAATTGGGTTTTAAGTGAAGGAGTGAGAAGAAAATAGGTCCTGCAGTCAGAGATCATGCTTCATTTTACATCAGTACCTGGTTGTAATAGTTGTTAATGAGGTTTGGGAAATTTGGAAACAGGGAGTCATGAAAATCTACGACTCTAAGTGGGCTGAATGGATTCTCAGCAGGATCTTTTGTGGAACCTCATAGCAAATCGGATATTTTAATTTCAAGCTTTAGCTCAGGCAGAGTGAGCCTAAACTTCTCCAACACGGCTCGGTCCAAAGAAAAACATACCTGAGGTAGGAGTTAAAACACATACAGACAGACGGACAGACGGACAGACGGACAGACAGACAGACAGACAGAGACTACTGTGGTCTACAGGGTCTACTGTGGAGCACGCACAGACAGACAATGGTGGGGTAAAAGGGTTTGTTGAGAGGCTCACCTGCCCAGCTGGGGGTCTCCATGTACAGGTAAAGCCGGTCGGGCTGAAGCTGGGTCACTCGACTCGCTGCTGCTGCTGCCACAGGTGCTGATCAACCCTGAGGAAAGCAGAAACAGAAAGCTCGATCATTCACTAGTTAGCGGCAGAAAATGCTAAGGATGTTTACTCAAGTACAACTTAAGAGATACAGAATTTGTACTTCCAGTTTTGGTACGTCTAATTTGCTTATTTGTTTTCTAGATAACACCAGTATCACTCTTGTCTCTATGTTATTGTCGGGATGTCTGAGGGATGTTTTTTTTTCCCTTCGGTGTATAGGCTACCGGGTGCAGACGTCTGTACATATTGAGCACTTCCAGTAGTGAATGTTGCACACATTTCAGAACCAAAAGAGTGAAGCCACACTAACACGATACGCAAATACCCAGTGGATATTAAACGAAAATGCTTCATTATCCTCCCAAAATATTAAGCTGTCTACCACATAAAGCTGATAAATTGTGAAATCAAGAAGTGTTTTACTTAACTTCTATCAGCTTATATATATCCTGTATCATGACAGCAGCAGAGATAAAATATAACCTTGAGTTGATGGAAGTATTTGAATCAAAATGCAAAACAATGATCAACACTAACAGGCACCAAAAGCTGTGTAGTGACTTTTCTCCAAAGCCCACAGGCAGCAGGAACCAGGAGTGATTTCCGCAGGCTAACAGGCTAACAAGCGTAGAGTTAACTGTCTTGACTATTGCACAGAAACAAATCCATGGAGCCCGGAAACACCCAGTCGGTCTCTTGGGTGTACAGTGCTGCAGTTCAGCGTGTAAGCAGAGTTTTTTTGAGGGCAGTGGGTCTTGCATGAGATCTGGCATCAGCAGCAGCCGAGTCGTTTAGCCTTGAAGCTGAACTTCGTCACACAGTACTCAATTGAATTTGTAACAACATCTAACGTTGTGATGCTTTCATTTATCTGAAGGTAACATATAGAAGGTGGGCAGGTGGGAGGCTTTTGTCAGTGTTGGACTTCAAAGTGCAGCATTTGGCTACTTCCTGGAGGCTGTGTGTAAAACCGTTTCATATTGAGCTTGCAAACATATCAGTAGAAGGGATTACTTTGTTCATTTTGGGCCAGAATGGAGCTGGAGTCAGGATGTGGTTAGCCTAGCCTAGCATAAAGCCTCAAAGCAGGAGGCAAACAGCCTGACCCTGTCAAAGGTTAAAAAAAATACGCCAACACTTCTAAAGTTCACTAAACATGATGCGTCTCGTCTGCTGAATCTGGAATTCTAGGAGTTACATGCTAGGACTACTTCTTGAAAACACTTTATCCATTCAGCCAACATTTTAGTGTAGCATCTCCAGCTAGCTTTAGCCACCAGATGTAACTGGTGAGCAAAAGTTTTTGTCTATGTACAGGCAAAGTGGTACCAGACCTGACAACCTCACTGCAACAAGAAGACATGACAAACACGCATGTGTTTGTATTTAATCTCGTGAGTGAACACTACAACCAACATATGTGGTTGTTTCACAGCATGGACCTTCAAGCACTACAGCATGTTTATGCCCTGGTGTGTGGCTGTTCTCATGCAGCGGGTGGCTTTTCTGCTGACTTGTGTATCTTCGCAGGCTCCGGGTTGGCTGTTGCCCAGCAGCCCAGCCGGTGAACCGCGGAGAAAGCGCATTGATTTCATCCCAGCAGAAATCCCTTCTCCCGGTACCCGCCTCCCTACCCCGCCCCGCACCTGATTAAGCATTTGCAGGGAGCCATGCCAACACAATTTGTCATTTATCAAAAGTAATTAAAAGCAATTTCTTTTCTCTTGTTGATTGGGAATTGACTAATTGTTGAGGCTGTGAAAACGGGGGAATAAATAAAACAGGGAAGGATGAATTTTACATAAACTCAGAGGAAAACATAAATGCTGTAAAATGAGGGCCAGACATCTGGCTCTGATTTCTCTCTACATGATTATGACTGCAAAACTGAAACAGTTGTTTAGCGCATTCTGATATACAGCCCATAGGCAGTAAATAATATATTAGAAACAGCATATTGACTAGCTGACTTAAAAGGGTGTTTTCACTTCATGTTGTGTGAACACAAGAGTGGGAGGAAAATACAAACACTGGTTGGTTACTTGTTAACAGAAAATGAAAAACGCTGCTCCCACTTGTGCCAAAAGAGATATTTGAGCCGGTAAATACCAATGTCTCAGTCTGAGAGGGAAAACAACACGATAGAAGAAGGTAGAGCGAAGAGGAGGAGAGGAGCCGAGGCCATCCTACAGCAGAGGTTACAGTACGTCTATCCAAAGAAACCAACCAATACCGCTTCAACATTATCGGTAACAGCCTCTGAATGCACCATTACCTTCTATAAGGGCAGAATGAAATGTCAGAATTGATTCGAGAGGGGAGGGTTGAGATATAAGTGGGCAGCTAAGGTGGCCATTTTGATTCAGTGGCCCTTTATTTGGTGTCCCTGGATCATTAGCAGACGGCAAAAAAGAGCTGGAAGAACATGAAGGAGGTGTGGGCGGCCATCACGAGCGTCTCCAGTGACAGCATGTGAAATGAAAACAGAAAAAAAAACACACACACACACACACACACACACACACACACACACACACACACACACACACACACAAATAGACAGAAATCAAAGAAGAAGAAGAAAAAAAAAAGAGGCACGCGGAAACGCCAGAGGAGTCGTTTAAATTTCCCACCACTTTGTAAATAACTTTAGCTGCACAAATACCTGGCTTTGCTCTGAGCGGATAAAAAATTTTCCAGCCAACAATTTATTCTCTGCCAACAAATGGAGCCGTTGCTTCAATGAGACGATTTGAATATCCCTTTGAAGGCTGCAGATGGACAAGCAATACTATCATTGCCTGGGAACACAGAAATAATTGGGCAACAGTGGGAGAAGCCTACATTCACTTCTCTGCTGAGACAGAGCCCTGCTTGGAAATTCTAATTGAACCTCTCACTCTCCTGCCTTTTGTTTACATTCCCATTCATCATAAAAAACTCAATTACTTATGTTCCCTAACATGTATGGTTATTAATGTTCTAATTATGCTTCTCCTCTCTAATCTTTTGCCTTGCAATTTGGGTGATATATGTCTGAACAACAGGGCGAGTCCCCTGGAAGTGAGAGCTGAATTAGGAATGTATGTGCAATAACACACCTTCTCCTGGGAGCCATCTGACGAAGAGAGAGAGCTTGTCATGGTTTGTCTATACGTGGGGATTTATGCCAGCTCAGTGAGCATGTGTTATTATATACTGTCTTTGTTCGACATGCATTTCCAAGCAGAAAGTTGACTAATCAGCTCTCGCTAGCAGCAGAACAGATGTAGCTGGGGAAACTGACAAGAACAGCTGAGGAAAAAAAAAAGAAACAACAAAAAAAACAACAAACAAAAAAACCAAAAAAACAGAGCAAACTACCTCTGGCCAGCTCTTCTTATTCTTCTTGTGAAAGGCTATAGGTATGACAGCTTTAGAGGTATGAAATAATGTCGGTGAGAGCCTTGAGGAGCCCCTGCAGAGAGGCTGAGAGGGTCCTGTACTGCCTCAAGCAATGAGTGTTCTTCAAGGCTTTTCCTCAGAGCACTTTTACAAGAGCACAAATTAGGTGTAAGGAATGCCTGTGTCGGCAGGCGCACCCAGCCGGCACACGGTGAAAGAGAAGAAGAAGAAGAAGAAGAAGAGGAAGGAAAAAAAAAAATGTTAAAAAAAAGGGGCAGAAACTTGGATGACAGTGAAGAAACGGAGGGCGTCATAAAGTGCGGAAAATAAGCTCTCACTTTCAAACGTTTACAGCGGCTCAAATATCTGATGATACCTCTCATAGCTTTTAATCTTTAATGTGAAAAATTAATCATCCCATTCATTATTTTAATAGCTGTCATTTTTCTCTCCCCAAAGTGATGATTTATAACCATTAAGCCCTGCGTAGGCTTGTGTGAGAGGGATTTATCGTAATGTTTGCACCAGGTAGCCTCCAACCATATTTCATTACTCTGACAAGCCATTAAAATGCCCTGGTGATTAAACAACAGCTCTGAGGTCAGTGTGTATAGCTGTTTCTTTACCCATGCAGGAGCGCAGCAGTGCAGCCAAGCAGGCGGAGACCCGTAGCCTAACAAAGCCCTTTCTCCCCCCCCCAGGTTCCCTCCAGACTGGCAATCGTAGTTATAGATCTTTATCTGTTGTGCTGTGCGAGGTCGACGGGGGCGCATGATGCACATGCACAGACGCTACGATGAAATAAAGTTAAGAATGGGACTATTATGTTTTTTTTTTTTTTTTTCCCCCCTCAGAGGTCTGGCACCATGATAACTGTGCACTTAGAGGAAAAACTCCAGCCTCAGATACTCTTAAGTCCATCCATCTGTGATGTTCAGGGTGTCCCAGGAGTTATTTTGCGATCATGTGTTGTCATTTATGCCTCTGCTCTACCCACTTGTCTCTTTTACTCCTATTTCAGCTATTGATTTCCTACCAATCCCATCATGCATGGGTGTGTTGACAACATCAGGGGGTCGAGCGGCAGTGTTAGTGCCCCCCCAAGACCCACCCCTACTTTCTGGCAGAAATAGGTTGCCTAAAAGAGTAATGCCTGTACACTGACTCTCAACCCTACACTTCATTAAAGACATTTCCATACCACACACACACACACACACACACACACACACACACACACACACACACAAACATATTTCATATATATTTATATAAATATATATTTATATTTACAAGATTAGATAAATAAATGAATAAATGAATACACTTCATTACTTACTTAGCTACAGTAAATGATGCAGTCTAAGACAACAGTCCTGCAATAAATTCTCTGCGTGTGATACTTATTTTTCAATGAAAAGATGAAAATATTAATGAGTGAAGTTTATCCTGTGTGTGTTTGCAGTTCCATCCATTACTCAAAAGGGTGAGGGTATGTCTCAGTTCAATACTTCATTGTAGTTGTAATGCTGTGTCGACACAGGAAGTGTTTCAGCAGTGCAATAAACGCAATACGCTCCTACTGTAATCGATCCAGCTGTCCACATGGACCGC